CGGCAATCTGTGGTGCAGGGTCGCGTGGACGAGGGCCGAGCACGGTGTGTGCATAATGGAGCGCGGCGGCGCGGAAGAGCGCGGCGTACGGGGTTGCGGAGGGCGACAGCTTGTGTTTGCAGAGAAGCTCGTGAACTTCGGGAATCAACGGCGCCAGAGTGCGTTCGACGTAGTTTTCGGTAAGTTTCGTCGTCGGTGAGGGTTGGGTGAGGCGCTGGATTATGTGGGCTCCGGCGTCGGAGTAAGTGTGTGTGAGGCAGAATTCGAGGGCGACGAGGAAGGGTTTGGTCGACTGTGTCGAAAGGTAGGACGAGTAGTGAGGGTGCTCCGTTGACACGAGCTCTACGGTGCTGGACCACTTTTTGAGCAGGCGCTGTTGCAATTCTCGAAAGGCGTCCGCGGTCAATCCGTCACGATCCACCTTGCAAGGTCCCAGTTGTAATATGAACCCTTCCAGCTACGATGGAGCCAACCCGAGTCCTCCCAGCCCCGGGAGAACGCTGATGGTACATTAGCGCGAGTCCAAAATGCACGGAAAGCAGACCTACGTTCTGTAAAGGATTTCTGGTTTTCCGCTTAGAGCTACGGTCTCGACTACACGGCCTACGTCCTCTGCTTTGAAACCTGCCGCTGCACCGGCGGCGACGGCGATCATGTACTGCGCAACGATCGCCTCACAGAACTCTGGCAGCCCGACAGGAGGCTTTGTTGGTTCCTAGTGTTCCGGTGTACGCCCTCATCCGAGGCACTACCAGTATGCTTAGTCATGTATACTACGTTCCCACGCATTGTACAGTACTATGCCGCCGTATCGTCCTAGATCGATATCCAATCTATCATCCTATCCACCATCGTCGTCCTATCCGACACCCTGTCCGTCATCCGGCGTCCTTTCGCCTCTACGGCTCTCTTCGTCCACTGCTCGATTCTTCACAGGCTTTCGGTCGCTTGGGTATCCCTTCACGATATCGCCGATGTATGTAGTGAGAGGGAGTAGGACTTGCTGGTTGCGGCGTAGCAGAGCGTCGCTCGTCAATCCACCGAACTTGAGCAGCTTCTTAAATACAGACTCGAGTTGATCTTCGCGAGCGAGATCAAAGCAAACTTGAGTGTATAATTTGACGGCTTCGTACTGTTGCGCCTCGTTCTGAAGGAGAGCCGTTCCAGCCTTGGTCGTAGAGAAATCCGCATCGTTGATGGCCTTCGACAGAAGCTCTTGAGAGATTTGCGTGCGATCTTTCCTCGAGATCTTGTCTGCGGAGTGCATATACACGGCGTGTCTGAGAAGGCTTGGGCTGTCGGCGAGTCTCATAATCTGTGGTAGTACGCTGATAATGGTCGTGTAAGCGGACGTAAATATGGAAGGTTGAGATATACACACGTATTCTGGAGAAGTTTCAGGCGTCCGTGCGCCAGTGTCTGCTGTATGAGTGTGGCGGCTTCGTCGTCGCTGGGGATGCGGAGAGCAGATAAACGCTTCAGCCGTTGAGCTTTGACCCACTTCTTGGTCTCTGCGCGGGAAGACTGCTTGTCTTGCAAATCCTCGAGTCCGTCGAGAAGCCTGAGCGTCATTATATCCGAGGGAGTGTTGCGGACCGCTTCTTCCAGACTACATACAACCCATGTCAGAAAGTCCGCATCGCTCATACAAAAAGTACGCACTAGGGAAGCATAGAGGATAATCCGAACGTTTCGATGGCATCTTTGACATGCTCTAGAGTCACCAGAGGGGTATGGCCGCAGGCTTTCGCCATCCTCGGCCAGAGGGACTGGCAATCCCACAGAGTGGCCATAAAAGAAAGCGCGTCGACTGAATCTGAACTTTGCTGGTCGTTAAGGAGCATCTTGACCATCTGAAGTTGAGCCGCAGTCGGCGTCGAGCTTTCACAGTCGCTGAGGACCGTGCAGGCGTAGTCGTGGGCGTCTTCATCCCCAAGCATCGAACCCGCGGCCCAAAAGGGCCATACGACGAGCAGCGTACGACGGTAAACTAGAACCAGAGTCAGACAGTTAGTAATGAGGAAATAGACGCGCAAGTAACGATGGACTTGCCTCGTTCTATCGAACCAGCAGACTTTCGCCGCCACGTCCATCAGTATTATGACCAACTAGCCGGAGACGAGACCCAACTCACATTACCCATGTACCCTTCCCATGACTGTTCATCGTGTTCGCCGTCCATGACATGGTCCGTTAGGGCCTTCGGGATGGTTTCAGTCAACTCGTCAAGATGAATAGGCTCGTCTCGGATGACATCGCCGTTGATGTCGACCAGGCGCGTGAGCTCTACGTCCGTATCGCAGATCTCTCCCATGCCCACGTCGTCTTCTCCGTAGTTGTCGTCTTCGGCGTCATCGTAATAGCAGTACCGCTGCCGACCCCACCCTCCACGGCCCGCGCCGGTTGTGCGCCCAATAGTCGGCAGGTTCTCCGTGGATCTCAAGGGAGCCCTGCTGTTCGATGTTGAGATTCGCGAAGCCGACGCGGAACCCGTGTGGCCCGCCGACCTCCTCGAGCAGTCCAACGAGATGCGCGTCCTGCCCCTTCAGACAACTGGCGCCGAGACCTGCATGCGAGTACTGATGTTCGAGGAGACAAACAAGCTTCTTAGGGCCGTTCGCTTCATCCTGCTTCCATGAACGGAGAATGTGCTCAAGGCGCGGCTTGAGTCCAGCGAAGCTCGGTAACGAGGGGCGGAGGGTATTCGTGGTGTGGAGAAGGTTAAACGAGAGGGCAAGTCGGTACCCGGACGTGATGGGCTTGACCTCGTGCTCCACATCGGTGTACCAGGCGAGTGCTGTCAGCCCAGCAAGGCTGTTTTCGGAGTGCTCGTACATCTCGGACTTCCCTCCGTGTGATACTCGAACCGCACCGCCTGAAAACTCAGAGGGCAGGATGATGACGACGGTAGCGAACATTCCGTTAACCTTCTCCGTGCTACACGACTATCATTCAGAGCAGATCAGACAAGAATAAGTGTAGTACTCACTCGACATGCGGAAGGAAGCTGTGAGAGGAGAGTGCGTCAGTCCTAATATCGCGAGAGTTTGCATGCCACTCACTGAGAGCCCTTTTCGTACAACAACAGCTTGTAAAGTTCACATCGAGGTCTACTCGCATGAAAGTTGACTCCCAGGGTCTCACATATGTTACGAACTAGGGTGTCCATGAACGGTTTCCAGGCTGCACTGCGAAAGTGGATCTGTTACATCGGAACACAGTTCAGACGCCAGATGTTCGTTATAATGGACAGACGTACCTTGGACCCGTCTATCTCCCATGTGTCCCGCACCGTCTTGTCCACAATGGTCTTGTCGGCCATGCCGAACGGGGCTTGCGCAGCATGCTCCTTGATTGCGAGGGCGTCCCGTACGCCGAGGGGTAGCCCGACGCTCCCGAAGCCGTTTATGGATAGGAGCGGGTTGGGAAACTCCTGCTCTGCCCACGATTTATGGAAGGAGAACGAGCCTGAGAAGTCAAGCTTGTTGTCGATGATGTTCTGGAGGTCGCCCTAAACATATACGGAGTCGGCGTCCCGAGCCTGCGGTTGTCGAGAGACCGCATCAACGGTGACGTACCCGGATGTCCTTCGACGGGTTCTTCACCTTCTTGTCCTCAGCGTTGATCTCATCATCCTCGTCGTCCATGGCAGGGTCTCCAAAGCAGACGAGGATCTCTTCTTCTTGTGGGACGGTCGCGACCGTGGTTGCCGCCTCTTTGGCCTGGTGCAACGCATGATTCTCAATCAACGTGCGGCGTGAAGAAGCGCGAGATAATTACAGAGTGGCTAGTGCGGGACATCTTCAATGCTGAGACTCGAGAGCCAATCGATCTGGGAGAGTGGGGGAAGAGAGGGTGAAAAGCTGTCTGCCGTAGCGATTGCCGGGGGGACGCGCGATGAGGTGTGATGACTGCTCACGTGACCGTGACTACTCGCGTCGTCGTCACGCGTCATGCGGCCCGGCCCGGCGCCGGCTACTGTGGCAGGACTTGGCCCTGTCGCGACAGGACACCATTGCGCGCAGGTTCTGTTCGCCCCTGTTCGCCCACACCACCTCGGTCCTCTGTACTGAACACTTCCTGCTTCGTTTGCAGCAGATTTAGTAGCAGCAGGTCTGTCCTTGCCCTCCGCTTTCGAGACGACAGCCCATGGTGTCGCAAACGTGGTATGATTGCTTCGTATCGATACACGCTGCACAGATGTACATCTATGATCGGCCACGTTAACCATGCGCGATCCTGCGATGGTCTGGACTTTACTTCAAGTGGCGGAGAAGAGGTGAAATGAATGTATCCTGACTTGACGGAAGACGGGAGTGAAGCGTTGACCAGCACGCCATCGCTGTCCCAGCAGATCACACGAATCTACGTTGAAGCACAACAGGATGTAGGATTGAGGGTGGTATAGCGGGGGGGCGGGGTGCACTTGGGGGGATATGGGGCTGACTCGCGCACTCAGCAGGAAACTTCACGGCATTTACAAAAGGCGGCGAGCCGTCACGGCCATACGACCGGCCTCTGGGTCTTTTGTGCCTTCTGCTCCCATTGAGGGATTTAGCTTCGAGCCTGAGGGTTTGCGGCTGTTCGAGAGATGATGATAGGAGACAAGGCGCAGTAGCGGAAGATGGCAGAAGATATGCGGACGCCGGAGGTCAAATTCCAATTTCTAAACTCAGGCAGTGATATTGGTTCGGAGATGATGCGGAGGTTGAACGCACGTTGAACGTTGATGCATGATGGGTGCCGATCGAGACAAGACGGGATCCGGAACGTCCCACATTCGAGACATGAATAGTCTGGCAGTGCACTCCGGAGTTCGCTCCCCACGCGAACCCCACGCACAGCTTCGGTAGTCGTCGGTCTTCATACGCAGCGCCCTCACCGCCTGCGCTCGCTTTACTCTCCACTTCCATGACCTCCCCTCCTGTAGGGCGCGCCTCTTGCTGAGCTTACGACTTCGTTGTTTCCCGGGAATTTCGTCCTCTTTTTTCAACCCAGCCATGGGCGCGATCTTTTCGAGTGGACAACCCGGCTCAGGTTTGTCTGACCTGGGCACGCACAGTCCGCGACGGTCTAACACTCGCTCCAATGGTAACCCTTTCCAATGCGACCATGGAAACTCGGGAACCCCTCCGGGTGGCCTTGTGAACTCGAATCCGCCTCCAATGAACTTGGCACCTATTGGTACACAACTGCAGCATTCGACGCGCCGTTCCGGTTTCATAGCGTGTCTTGTGTCGACAATGCCACGGCAGCATGCCAACGCAGCAGTGCGATGCAGAACCTCAATGGCGATTGGAAGCTATTCGTCGATCCAAACAACGCGAGCAACACTGTCCGTGTAACGTTCGGATCTGGACCCAAGGCGAAGCTTGTCTTTCAGGGTGAGTGGTGCAGGATTCCGATGTAAAAGATTTCTCACGTGTCAGTCGCACAGGGAACTCGCTGGAGGTTTGGGGGGCGCAGATAGAGCCAAATAATGGCCCCAGTGGCGGCTCTTCGTACACCATCGACGGAGACAAAGCCACCGTTACGGGGTTTCAAGATCCCTCGGATATCAACGACGTTATTCTTCGCAGCTGGATGGGCAGTTACGGGAACCATACACTCACCATAGAGAACGACGGCGCGGCCCTTGGAATCGACTTCTTCAAAATTGGTCGTCCTCCAGACACGTCTCCAGACCCGGCATCGTCGTCAGCCTCTACGTCAACCATTGCGACTTCAAGCTCTCCTGTGTCGTCGTCATTCCCCGTTGGCTCTCCTCATGGTATGTACATCAGGAAAAACCCAAATTCATAATGAGACATTACTGAGGCTTGTGAGGGCTAATGAGCCGGATTATCGCGTTATTCAAAAGTATTATTTTTCGCTTACCCATCTGCTAACGAGAAACCATTACATGGAGAAGGAAGAGTTAGTCGTGAGAGCAGGCCCTCACCAGGCGCATTTAGTCTCATTCATGTCCGTAGATCACTGATTCAAGCTCTGAATATCGAGTCGTAGCACTCATCCATACAATATAGCGCAATCATGAACATTGACTCAGTATCGGATGCATAGCAACAGCGACATAGATGTAGTACATATCAACGATCGAGAAATGATGACACAATGTAAACGGTACCAGAGCCTGCCAGGTCCGCCACGAAGCGCACAGAAATTACGGAGGAACATAAAGGGCGCGATGCTCGAACACTGGACCTCCTTTGCGGGGTAGCGCCAGTTGGGGGCACGCGCGAACACGGAATGCACACCGCAAGCACTCCACGCGCACGGGCGGCCCTCTCGAGCTCTTCGAGCACTTACCGGTCCTCTCACAGATCGCACCCTCAACGGCGCACGAACGTGCCCTGGCCCCATGCATGAGGCCTTGAGGCCTGAGGCCTTGGAGACGTCCTCCCGCGCGGTTCTTCTCCATCGGGCGGGCCTGCCACCCCGGCCCGCCAGCCGTCTGCATCCTGACCCACCCTCGTCCCTTCCCGGCCGTCGACCTCGGGGACGACAAACGTGCCCCTGAGCGGGACCGTGTACGTGCTCACGTCGTGTGCCACCAGGCACCGACGAGAGTGCGCCCGCTGATGACGTGCCGTCGTTCATTGGTAGGACGTGGACGTGGACGGCGACGACGACAACGCCGTCCCGGTGGCGGACGCAGCTGTGGTGCGCATATCGCGCGGGGGTCTGTGTGTGTGTGCGTATGGGGGGAGGATGATGGGGGAAAATGAAAAGAGGCAAGACAGCGATAGAGGAAGAGAGGTCAGGGCACACACGGGGAGAAAACAGGTTAACTAAGGAGAGCGGACGGATGAAAGTACACGTACACCACCTCGCCGGTGACAAAGATGTTTGCGATTCCAAGGCACGTCCGGTCGATGTCGATGTCCGGGTCCGTCGGACTGGCCGCACGCTGGTGCGTTTCGTCCGACTCGTGCTCTTCGTCGCACTCGCCGATGGGGATAGAGGAGCGGTAGGTGAGCAGGGGCATGGGCAGGAGATCACGACGGGGGTACTCACAGATTCCCGAGATGCTGGAACGGGAGGCGGGTGGACCACCGCGGTCGAAGACGCGTTGACCTCTGGCAGAGGGGTGGGCGTCGTCAGTAGCGCGAATGAGATCAACCTGGCTCATAAGTGGCCCAAGGAGCGTGACCAGGTTTTGGTGTCACCCCTCTCGCCTGCAGGGCGGGTCCATGCAATCATAAGATTGAGACACTCACCACCTAGATGCACAGGCTGACACCGTCGAAAGTCTTGGGGCTCCGTGAAGATGTGCGTTGCCCGAACTAGATCGCCCGCCCAAGACCCGGATGTCGGATGCGCGGCCTTCGAGGTGTCGTCGCGGAGGAATGAGGGGGATGGGGAGGGCTATGTTGCCATGGGCTCTGGAGGGGGGCCGCTGGTAACCATGGGGCTCTCGACGGAGGAGTCGAGGGACGTCCTTGTCTATGTCCGCGGGGCCCGTACGAATCGAGGGAGGAGCCGGTCAAGTTGTCGTCGGAGTCACGTAGACCATCGTGGTCGTGGTCGACGTCGTACGCAACCGAGACGAGTCCACGAAAGCGCTGGGGCGAAGAAAGACCTAGTGCGGCTGGTGAAGTGGCCAGTGGGTATCCGGAAAGTGGGCCGCGGGGGAAAACAAAATCGCTACGTTGAAGGAGAAGGGGAGGGGTGAAGGTGGTGGTGGAGGAGGAGGAGGAGGAGGAGGAGGAGGTTGGTCAGCACGGAGCGGGGACACCGAAGGGACGCGCGTCGTCGCGTTGCGGATGGGGCGATCCGCGTCGCCCGTAGTTGCTACTGCTAGCTTCGCATGGTTGTTGTCTCTGGTCCCTCCACTGCTCTACATACATCCCTTGTCGTTCACGAAGCGGCCGAAGCCTGCCATCCGGCGCTCTTGCTTGAGCTCGCACTATGTTGTTGTGAGTTCCCGTGCCTTCCCCGCGCTCTGTCCGTACTCTTAATCCCCCACCTTCCGCCAACCAGGACCCGTACTATTGTCATGAAGAAACCGTGAAGCTCTGCATGCGCACGCGTTTCTTTGCGTATCCAGACCCACCTCCGTTTTCCACATGCACCCCTTCCGCTCCTTCAGCTCCCCCATTGTGTATTTCCTTCATCGAACTTCACGACTGCACGCTTCCGTCGTCTTCGCCGCCGCTCTCCCCATCCTCCAACGCTCACAAGCACACTTCGCAGCCGCACGAGGGCTGTCAGGCCACCGAAAGCTTGGGTTCGAGCACAAAGTCTGACGATATCTCAAGTACGTTAGACCGTATCCTATGTACGTCCTCCCATCATCCGCGCCATAACTCGTTCCTCCATCCCACACACCGCCGCGCCTGCACCAACACCCCCGCGCGCCAACATGACGCGGCCGCCTCGCCGCAGAGACATATCCCATTCCTGGGCGCGCGGGCGCGACGCCGTACAGCGCAGGGTCCTCGCACAGTTCGCGCGGTCGTCGATGTCGACGTCACCGTCCCCCGCGTCGAGCACGCCCCTTCGACTCCGAGTCCCCTCGAGGTTCTCTATCAAGTACCGGGTGCTGGGCGCGAAGATCGGGCACGATGTGGTGAGTCACAGTCAGCTTCACTTACACCCAGCTCGCCCCGAGCGTGCCCATCCCCGACAGCGCGACGTACTACGGCTCGCACACATCCTCGCACAACGGACCGCCACGCACAGTACAATCGTGTGGGGCTCCCATAGCCAAAGTGGTACCTCGAAGCGTTCGCCACGGGCCCGCGCACATGCCCTGGTTCGTCGCCCTCCTCCCCTGGTGCGCGCCCTCGACGTGCTCGAACGCGTCATCCTCTGGTTGCCCTCCCATGTTCACGTCGCTTCCAACTAGGGATACGCACACACGCTGCACACGCATTCCGCGAACAACGCTGCGATCGCTGCGCCGGAGTAGCCGAGCTACGCGCCGAACCCTCACCGGCACATTTACTCGTCGGGCTCCCCACCTCGTTACCCGTCGTCCCAGCCGGCAAACGTGTTGATCACACAAGGCAAGTAGCATGACCACGGAGAGATGGGTGACCGGGACACTGAACATTCAGGTAAGTTCTCATTGACGAATCAGTACTGTAGAATGTGGGCAGTCGTACATTAGATCATGAAGCAATGACTGCTTTTCCTGTGTCCGATCTATGTGTGCTGATGTGTGAGCAGCGGGGAAAGTCATGCACCATTGCTACTACTCGTCGAGATCCAGTCGAAAGTATCATCATTGGCTAACTGCATGTACATATATCCGCTACAGCCACTCAAGCATGTCAAATTATACCTCATGTGCCCCATAAGCGACCAGAAGGAAGGCGATAGTCTGACAAAGTGTCTGTAAACTGTGGTGAGTTGGAACAGCGGCAATATTTTGGCGTATATCGGCTTACCAATATTTTACCTCTCAATAGGAATTTGGGTTTTTCCTGATGTAGTCCCTCTTGAGGCCAATTGAAGTCACTTGAACCTCCTGCTGTAGGCGGTTTAGCCACATCAGGCGGCCTCAGCAAGAACGGCGGGCTATCCGCGGGGGGTATCGCAGGCATCGTGACCGGTCTACTCCTCCTCCTCCTCCTCCTCCTCCTCCTCCTCCTCCTCCTCCTCCTCCTCCTCCTCCTGCTAGTCGCGCTCTGGCTCGTACGCAGGCGGAGACAAGCCCAGACGCGGGGCACGCTCCACCGATTCGGTGAGTCTTTCCTCTCTGCGCTCCGTTTTTCGAATTTGAATTCAACCTCGTGTGCAGAACCGCGCGCCCTCGTCACCCCTTCGCCACGGCGCCGCGCCGCGCCGTCGTTGACTCCACTTCCGCTGCCGCTCTCAGACAAGACAGACAAGCACCTCTCGATCGCACCAAGCGCGGTCACCACGCTCCCGCCGTACGGCGCCGTGGGCGACTTCAAGGCGTCGGAGTACAACATGGGCGACCCCGCGCCCCCGGCCCCGCCCGCTGAGGCACCGGCACATGCTTCCGTAGGGCACGAAACACCTCTATCCTCACTGCGGCGACATCCGGAGGACTTCGCAGGCTTGGACCACGAGCTCTAGCTAAACACGCCGACCTGCCTTCGCGCGCCGTACAGCGAAGTTCTACCGCGGCCGCTGCTGGGCAGCCCGGGTCGGGTCGCTCTGTTTCTCCCACCGTCGATCGCTTCACGTCGCGCTAGTGCGTTATGTGACGCTCGCCGCGTTCTTTATACTAGCACGTTTGTTTCTTTGCTTGCTTACCTCCTCGTCCCCGTTCATTGTACCTATTCTAGACGCTCTCGCTCCTGGTTTTTGATTTGAGCCCATCCGATTTCGAAATTGCATATATCCTTCCCAATTCGCAGCGCAGTGTGCAGCGGTTGTCTCCGCCAGGATCAAGCCACGCGTGTCTGCGCAAGCAGCTCACAGGAGGGTGCATGCATCAGAAATAAGTCGCGATAGAATACAGAACGCGCACGCGAGCGACGGATACACTCCACCACGCCGGCAGCCAAGAATACAAGCAACAACCCGTGCCCCCGCCTAACACTCCTACCCCGGCCTCGACGACGCCCCAGACACCGTTCCCGCCTCGCCGCCGGTCCCTCTCGCGCTCCGCCGGTCCCCCGCGCCGGCGTACAGGTCGCTGTAAGGCGGCGGCATGACCCGCGCGCGCGTCGGCGCCCCGCGCGCGTACGGCGGCACTTCCGGCACGTCCTCGTCCTCGTCCTCGCCCGGGCGGCCGCCCGCGAGGCGCACGCCCCCGTCGACGGAGTACGCCGTCCGCCCGGACGCGTTCGTCTCCAGCGAGCGCGAGCGGCCGAGGTCGTCCC